ACATTTTGCAGCCCGGCCCTCCAAAAACACACGATGATCTAGTATAGATCAACATGGATGGGCAAGACCCCCAAAGCTAGCCACATACAACAGACAACAGCAGGGCCCCAACAGCTGGGCACACCTGGAAGCAGGGTACAAAGTCTGAAGGTGGGACGTCTGTACACGGAAGGCCCTTTTTGGAAGAGCAAATGCATTTATCTTTTCCTCCTGGTGACTTTCCTCAGATCAGGGGACTGTTCTCTAAGCCCCCCCCCCCCAGCTGGTGCCCTCCTTGCTGGTTTATTAGTAACTGTACATGCTACCTGTGCATATTAATGACACTGATTCACAGCTCCTAAGATTGTACCCACTCTGCTGTGGGATCTCACCTCGCTCTTTAGCTTTGGTGATCCTCAGCCAATACCAGAAGAGTTGCTGTTTCCTCCTGTCACCCACCACCAACATTCTAACTCCAGACTCTAGGCTCACCGGTTACTGCCTGCCTGGGTCTCCTGCTCCAAAATCACCAGGGCAGGAGGTAGGCCATACGTTCCAAACAGTTTTGTTGGAAGTCACAGAGTTAGGAGGACCAATTTTGGCAGCAAGGGAAGCCTCTGCTCCTTCCTGAGTAGCCACCAACCTTGAGTTCCTCTGCACATTCTCTGGGGGAAGAATAATTGCAGAAACTGGGGTGGAGAAGGTAGGAACGTTAGGGATCAGGTGAGTGACCCCTCCTCTCGTTTACCCAAAGGATGACCTGGGAGAGGCTGTGGATGAGACCCTTCCCAAGAGCCTGGGACAGTTTTCTCCAGTTTATGCCATAATCCGAGTGGCAGGAGGGACAGCTAGGGAAAGGGTTAAGTTTAATTTATCCTGATTTCTACTTAATATCATGCTCTCCCCGTAGGAGCGGCAGCTGCGAGCTGATTGCACGCTCTCATTATGCAGTCTGTATCGCTAATGGCCTGTGACAAAGGCTTGCCAGCTCCCGGCCTTACCCCCGAGAGCCAATTAAACACACACACTCCCTTCCTGTTTGCAGCACGTTACAATGAAATTAAACTGAATTTCAAAATCGTTTTCTCCTGAAGACATCTCTTTACAATAATTAATGCATGCTATTCCTTTTCAGCAGAAAGGCCCACCCGGAGTGCTCACTGTCCACGTGGCTCCTGCTGCACCCCAGGGCTCCACGAGTCCCAACATCAGTAAAACCTATAGAACTTGCTCCCCGTGTTTTTAAAGGGAAGAAGACAGCTTTTAAATCCAAATCTAAACATAGGAAGGTGACCACAAAGCAAGTTGGGATTCCCACAGGGATTATTCAGAAGGCTGTTGGAGGGGCCTGTTAAAAGCAGGATTCACTCAAAAGCAGGGTTCTCTACATACTGCATTGGAGGAGGTTTGTTTCCTCCAGATGCTGACATTAACCAGGATGTTTACAGAGGAGCACTGGGGAGTTGTGTGTTATATGTGTACCACTTCCCACCACTGACCTACCCATATAATCATGTCAGGTTTCTCAGCCCTGAGCGAGTGACTCCTGGAAGGTGGTGGGCAGGCCCAGGAGCTCCACTGTGGACCTTGAACACTCATTGGAGGTGTTGGATAGATGCTTCCACCCATCTAGAGTATATTGGCCATTTTTTAGCTGGGACAACACATGCTTTCAGAGCCACTAGACTGAGGGACACATTTGACAAACTTATAGATTGCCTCCTTACCTACAAACCTCCCTCTCCCAGATGAGCCACAGTACCCACTCAGGGCACATGGCCCCACAAGGCTTTGCTTCCTAAAAGAGCACAAGTGAAATCACCTCTGTCACAATGGCCAGGATGTCACACAAAAACGTTAGACATACAGAAGGGCAGAAAGGAAAAACTACCAGAGCCTTGACACCTGATGTCAGTAACTCCAGTGATACTGATGAACTTCCAGATTAAAATATACTAGCAGATAGGCACACTGCCCTCAGGACATGGCTTTCTCACAGGTGAGGAGGGGTCTCAGGAGAACTAACACACAGGCGGGAAATTACAGTATATGCTGTGTGTCTCCCAGCCACTGTATTCACCCATGAGCCCCACAGGTCACACAGAGGAGACCAAATTGGGATATGCAAATTAATAACCAAAGCAAACCAAACCATGGTAAGTGAAACTGCTTCTGACCCCAAGGTGGGGAGGGGAGATTTTCAGCAGGAGTGTGGCTGTGTGGATGGACAGGAGAAGTTGTACCCAAGAGGAAGAGGAGGTCCTGACCTCAGGGGCAGTAGGACCTAATTATGTAGCATCAGCAAGGCTGTGGCAATGTGACCAGCTAGCAGAGGTACGGTGTAGGAGCCAGGTCTTGGGGACAAGGGCTCCAGAATCCTTGTAAGGACAGTGGGCCTTCAGACCTTCTTTCTAGAGGCTGTCAAAATAGCAGCCTCCAAACAGCCTCTGCCTTCAGTGGGAGGTTCTAGAATACACAAGCTAAGAAGCACCCAACAAAGAGCAGACCCTCTTCAACCGCAGTCCCCTCTGCCACTTCAGAGCTTGGTCCTACCTGTTTTGAACCAGCCATCTGAAGTGAAAGCAGTTTTAGTTTCTTCTGGCTTATCCCAGTATTCTCGAAATACAGAGGGTCCCCTAACCAGCAGCTCTCCTTCCTTTTCCTCGAAACCTGGGGTCACCTGCAGAAGGTAGAAGGGGCACCCAGGTAAGACTACGGCAACAGTGGGGACCTACTGCTCCTCTCTCCCACTACTGACCCAGGTAAGTGGCCTCCACCTATACCAGGGACCAATTTTTTCTTTGATAATATTTTTTTATTTAAATTTGCAACAAGCCTGTTTTACATGTCAATCCCAGTTCCCTCATCCTCCCCGAGACCAAATGTTTTTGAAATTAGACAGTTGGAAATCTCTGAAAATCACAGCCGTCAGTGGGTGGACTTTGATCATGCCCAAGCCTAGGGCTCCTCCTCTAACCGTGGCCTGGAGCCCAGGGTGGAGGTCAGTGTCTGCCCGCTCTCAAAAACAGTTCCTGAATCCCACTTCTGTGTACTTCTTAGAAGTTGTGAAACATTTGCCAGCACTACCCAAGCAGCACACCAGCAGCACATTGGGTAGCAACAGTTTTTGTTCAGAGTAAGCAGCCAAGGGAATTCCTAGATGCTAAGTAGAATGTGTGGCCACCCTGGTACTGTCATGGACCCTGTGTGTCTTTACCATGGAGCCTCTGTGGTCATGATGTAATGCTTGAAGCCAGTGGTGAGATTGAGGCTGCTACCTAACATGTCCACTAATCTATACTTCTCATTGTTGTCAGAGTATGATCCTTCAACCTTTCTATTTCTTGAGACGGGGTCTTGTTTGGTAGTACAGGCTGGCCTAGAACTCATGAAGTGTTCAGACTAGCTGCAAACTGTTGGATGAAGGAGCCTGCTGCCAAACCTGACGACTTAAGTTTGATCCTGGAAACCCACATTATAGGAGATAACCAACTCTCACAAGTTGTCTTCTGACCTCTACACATATGCTGTGTAACATACAAGGGCACTCAGACACCAAACACACACACACACACACACACACACACACACACACGCCCACTTTTCCTGCTTCTATGGGACATAATAAGGCAAATCCTAATTAGAGAAGTAGGACAAGGAAAAATAAATAAAATTTTGAAAAGGAGAAATAAAAGGGCTCCTATTTGCAAAAGACATGGTGGCGTATGTGAAAATTCCCATCATATTACAAAATCAAATTAAGCAATGATCTTGAACTAGTGAATGTATTCAGCCTGGGTATTAAAGGATATGAGTACACTCACCCAAAGTTAGTTGTATTTCTACAACTAGAGACCAGCACTCGCAACCCTGTGTTGCAAAATAGAAGATAAAAAGAAGAGGAAAGATAAGGACCATTGGAGTATGTCTATGTCTAACAGATCATATACAGCACCTGTTTGCTGAAAACGGCACACACAAAGGTAGGTCAGAGCTACATAAATGGAAGGACAAGCCATGTTCATGGTTTGGGGCTTAATAATTGTTAATATTCCCCTCACTGATTTGCAGGTGCAATATCATTACAATTAAGAACCCAAAAAGGCTTTCTGCAGATATAGGCAAGCTAGTTCTAAGACTGAGGGGCTGGGAAGATGGCTCAGTGGAGAAGCCCTTGCCATGCAAATGTGATGACTGGAGTCTGGATCTCCAGGGCCCATGCAAAAGCCAGATGTAGTTGTGTGCATCTGTTATCCAAGCATGCAGCAAGATGAGAGGTGGAGACTGGAGGATCCCTACAGGCTTGAAGGCCAGCTGTCTTAGTGTAAACGGTAGTGAACAAGAAGAGACCCTGAAAGACGAAGATGAGGATCAACACCCAAAGTTTTCTTCTGATCTCCACATGCATGCTATGGCATGTGTGCACCCTGTCCACACAAATAAAACATTGGTATGTGCAGGACTGTAGAGATGGATAGAACACTTGCTGAGTAGAACACATGGTGAGTAGGTAGGTCTGGATTTGATCCCCAGCACTGCAAAACTTAAATTTAAAAATTTAACTTTGAAAACAAAGAGTTAAGCTGCTGGAATCACATTACAGTTTTAGGACTTACTATCATGCCAAAGGAATGAAGATGGTATGGTGCACAGTCCACACACTCACTCAAGTATGTGTAACTGACATTCATCAAGGTTGCAAAGGCAAGTTAATGAGGAAAGTGGTTGAGCAGCTGGATAGCCACATATTAAAAAAAAAAAAAAAAATCACATCTTCATATACTAGTCAAGAATGCACCTCACAAAAAACAGATTCAGGCTTTCAGAAGAAAACCTAAGGAACACTCCTGTAGCTCACAGACATGACACCTGAAAGTTTAAGCCATGAAAGAGAGAGAGAAAAAAAAAAAGTAAAGTAGGCTCAATCAAAAATTAAAACTTGGATCCATACAACACAGGAGAATTAAAAGACAAACCACAAAATGGGAGAATTGGCAAATCACGTATTCCAGACAGAACTACTGCAAATATCCTGTTCTGATCTGTAATGATCAGGACAGGCTAAACATCTACTGGAGTCAGACCACACCTGTGCCCAGGTCTTGTTTTCAAATGCTGGTGACAAGCCAGGTAAAATGAAGTAACAACAAAAATATGTCCCTAACACTGAGAAAATAACACTATGAAATGATCTGAAGTACAGAACTGACATTCGAGAGAATACTGCAGACAAGTAAGTGGGTGCCTGTGAGGGCAGGCAGCCCCTTAGCCACTAGAGCTAAGCATGTGCTGGGACTATAGACTACAACACAAGTGCGGGAAGCTGGCAGCGTCTGGAGTAATAGTTGGGCAAATTCCAAACATCATCAAGGGCTGGGAGGCCGTGCAGAACAGATAGGATCTCACATACTGGTGGGAATGGGGAGCTGCACCAGCTCTCTGCAAGTAGCTCCCAAAATGTGCTGTGTGTGAACGATACCCCACTCCCAATCACTTACCTTGGAGAAAGAGATACTTAGTTACAGAAGAAAACTTCAAAATTAACATTCATCAGAACTATTCATCACAACCCAAGCCTGGAAACAACTTGTGTTGGTCAGGTTTTTGATACACTATGTCTGGGAGGAAACACAGCTTGAATGGAGAGCCGGGCAGGGCTGGCTGGGCTGGGTGCTGGAAGGAACCTCACACTGCAGTAGAGGCACTGGCTGCTGCTGCTGTACTCTATCGATGCATTAACCACCTAGCATTATCATTCTGGGCCTCTTCTTCACCCAGGTGTCCTCACTGTATCTGCAGATCTACACATCCCCCCACAATGCCATCAGATTACAGTCACCTGCTGTGTTGTGGTGCCAGGAGCCATCCATGATACCTCTCAGTGGGCAGCCATCTTACCACACCCCATCTTCCTTCCAGATGCTTCCCTAGGGACCCTGCTGAGTTCTAATGACTCAGAGCAGCTCTCCCAGTCACTATGGTTTAGCCAATCTTACTAGTTAATATCAACTGTTTAAAAATCACTGCGTGGTTTCTGTTCAATTGGAACAAAACAATACACACTCTGCTAAGTCGGTAACAGAAGGCACTTCACTCCTGTGGTCAGGAAACCAATCACCATAACCCTACTGTGTGGGACTTTAAGATCTAATGAGTGAGAACTCAAACTTGGTGAAGCCATGTCCCTTCCACAGCCAGGTATACTGTGTCACCCCAAGAGCCGCCTGCCTCACACAGCAGGTCAGTGCCTGGCTCATGTGCTGGGCAGGCAGCAGGGATGGGAACCTTTAATGAGGACATCATCTTGAATCTTAATTTCAGCTTCCATACAATTACAAACAATAGACATGTATTCCCAGGCAAGAAGAAGCATACCAGCTTATTGACCCCAAGATACATCTCTGTCCCCCAACTCTCAACAGGCAGCATTCTGAAACCTGGCTGTTTCTCATCTGCCATGGTAACCTGGATGCTCTGGGCTCCTGAGGATGTATGGTATCGTTCCACTGGCGTCGCACCAGCTTTCATCACAGCATCAGCATCCAAAGACACAGAGCAGAGCCAGGGTTCTTAGGACACTGGGTCCCCACGACTCTCAGCTCAATCCTGCCTGAAGCCCAGCCAAACGTCTCCTCAGTCACCTCAAACAGGTTTACCATGTCCAAGGTCAATAGGGACAGATGCTCAACTGTGCTTGTGTGCTTGTGAGGACATGGGCTGCTGTCTAGTCTCAGTCTACACCCCTGCTATGGCGTCACATAGGTTGTTGGATCTAGTCCTTTTTTTTTTTTGAGAATCTTCCACACTATTTCCATAATGACTAAGAACATAAGAACATACTAACTTACACTCCCACAGTGAGCACAGCTCCCTTACCAGCTGTGTTCTTGTCTTTTTGATAGCTGCTATTCTAACATAGGAGAGTGGCATTTGCTTTGGCTTTCATTTGTATTTCCTTGACAATTAGTGACAGTATTTTCACATATTTTATGACTACATGCATGCCATTGTGATTAATGTCTATTCGGGTTTTTGGCCTCTGTCAATAGGGTTAATCATTTCCTTGCCAGTGGACAGAGTCCCTTCTAGGTTGCAGATATTCGTTCTTATTACGTGCACGGTTCCCAGGCATTTCCCCCCATCTTTCCAGTATCTCTTCACCGTCATTTCACTGGCAGAAGCTTTCAAAGGTAACCCGATGCCAGCAACTGACTTTGGCTTCACCAGCTGTTTCTGAACACTTATCCAGTCATCCGTTTAAACCACTGACAGTAAGTATTCTGTCTTCCAGCACTTTCACAGTTCCTGGTGCTACATTTAAGAATCCTTGACTTGGCTCTGGTTCTTTTGTACAGTCAGGTTTCGTTGGATCTTTGCTTGTTTTTGAGTGAGTATCTCAATAAGTGATCCAGCCCTGCCTTGAACTCACTATGTAGACCGAGGCTGGTCTCAGACTCACGACCCTCTTGCCTAAGACACTTAAGTGCTGTGATAACAGGTGTGTAGCTCCACCCTGGTTCTGATTTTGTTTGTCTGCATGTTTTCTCAACATTTATTGATGACAAATCTTCTTCCTAAAATGTCTTCTTGAAACTTTTTAAAACATATTGATTTCTCGTCTCTGTTCAATTGTGCTGGTTTACATATGCCTCTTCATCCTTCTGGCAGTATCATGTCCCTTCGGTTATAATAGTCCTGTGGTACATTTTGAAGGCTTTGTTCGTTTTGCTAAAGATTGCTTTGGCTATTTGGGATCATTTGTAGTTCTATGCAAATATTAGAATAATATCTACATCTGTGAAGATGTCATTGATATTTGGTAAGGGCCTCATTAACTGTATAAATCATTTTTGTTATCCACTTACATATGAACTTAAAGTTTTATTTTTATTTTATGTGTATGAGGCTTTGTCTGCATGCATGAATGTGTACCACATGTTTGGAGTGTCCTCAGAGGCCAAAAGAGGGTATCAGATCCCCTGGAACTGGAGTTACAGATGGATGTATGGTGGGAGATGTCATTCTGTTTCTCTTACTGGTTAATGAATAAAGTACTGTTGGCCTCTAGGAAAGCAAGATACGTGGGACTAGGAGACAAAGAGGATTCTGGGAGATGTAGTAGAGAGGAGTCAAGATGTAGGACCTGAGAAAAGAGGTCCAGACCCTCTCTCTGTTAGGATCATGTGGAAACACTTAGATTGATAGAAATGAGTTAATACTTAAGACAGAGCTAGCCAATAAGAAAACACTATAACTGGCCAACAGTTTCATAATTAATACAGTGTCTCTGTGCAATATTTGGGGCTGATGTGGCAGCAGGTCCAGGCTGGCGGGAAAGTGCACGTAATAGATGTGAGCTGCCATGTGGGTGCTGTGAACCAAACCCAGGTCCTCTGCAAGAGCAGCATATAGTTCTTAAGAGTTGAGTCACCTCTCCTGCCCTGCTTTTTCATCTCACTGGTGTTTTACAGTTTTGGTGTAGAGAATCTTTACTTCCCTAATCATTCCCAAGTAGTTTATTTTATTGAATGAATGGGTAGACATGGGGAAGCCAAAGTATACCTTGCAGGGGTCAATTCTTACCTTCCACCATATGCTTCCTAGGGATCAAGCTCAGCTTGGCAGCTTTTGCCTTTACCTGCTGAACCATCTTACCGGTGCTAGTTTATAATTTTTAAATAGTATTATATTGGAATTATTTTCTTCATTTTTTCTCCCTATAGATAGCTCTCTATTAGTGTATGGAAATGCTGATTGTGCATCCTGCAACTTTTGACTTTTAGATCTGATAGTGTTTTGGGTTTGTGTATATATAATTTCATGTCACCTGTAAACAGGATTTTATTTTCCCATTTCCGTATAGCAACTTTTATTTCTTGCACCTGATGCTTGAGCCAAATCTAGAACTGTGTTGAACAGTAACAACAAGAAGAAGAACAACAAAATGGTTACCCTTGACATGTTTTAGACTGTGAAGGAAAGGCCTTTAACTTCTGCCCATTCCGGACGATGCTAGCTGCAGTTTGTCATATTGGGACTTTGTGTTGAGGCGTTTTCTTTTACTATCTAATTTGCTCAGAATTTGTCATTAAGGGATGTTGAATGTCAATGAGCTTTCTGTATCCACGGAAATCATTTAAACGTAGGAAATATATAGAGAGAAGAGTAGATAAGTGGTTGCTTGGGGCCCAAGTGAGAGGACAGTGGGTACTAATAGCTTTGGTTAGGGAAAGGTACACAACTCTGTGAAGACACCAAGAGCCACTGGGCAGAACATTCACAGGACAAACTGTACATAATCATACCTCAACAAAGTACTTTAAAACCAAGGCCCAGGCAGAAATAAACTACACAATTTGTTTTCCTGGGGGCGATGGTGGGGAGACCCTGAGATCCTGGGAGAGAACTTGGTTCTCAGGGAGTGAGCGGGGCTAGAGGCTGCTCAGGCCTGTGTCAGTCACGGAGAGGACCGAGGCAGCAGGAGAGAGGCTGGGTGGGGTGCTCACTGAGCACCTCACATTTCCAAGCACCCCTCAAAGGGCATGTGAGGAGGCAAGCCTTACACTCAGGGAAAAGGTACTGATTGGGGCTGGAGAGGTGGCTCAACAGTTAACACTGGCAACTCTTCCAGAGGGCCTGGGTTGGATTCTCAGCAACCACATGTGGGCACACAATTGTCTACAACTCCAGTTCCAGGAGATCCAAAGTCCTCTTCTGGCCTCCATAGGTACCAGGCATGCACTTAGTTCAGACAGACATGCAGGCAAAACCCTCATAAACATGGGGGGTGGGGGAGGGGTTGAGAAGCAAAGATGCCTGCAAGCTAAGCTGGTTGCAATCGACCTGGTTTTTGGTTTGAAGATTCCTCACTTGGGATCAGCTGTCTTCTTAACTAGCCCTGCATCAAAACGGTAAGTACACACATCTCATAGGAGGACACATAGCCTGGCAATGGTCATCCCCATCTGAAGCAAAAGCTATTAGGTAAAGGACACCAAAGACTGACCCCTCCACATGGGGCAGGTACAGCAGGTGACACATCAGGACAGATGGCAGAGATAAGGGGGTAAGGGAAGAATGTGGAGGGGGCCTAGGGAGAGAAGGCAACAACAGCACAGTCTGCTGAC